TAAAAGCAACCTACATGCTATTTTTAAATTTGTTATTTGGAAGTCATTGGTTTTAAAATAAGCAGGATATTTTACTTTTACCAAACATTTTTGTACAACTTAACTTTAAAGTGAACCAAATTTTGGTGAAAAAAGCAATACTAAACGGAGCCTTAGTGTGATATAATAATTGTCTAAGACAATAATATAGGGGGAAAATTATAATTTTGTAAAACATGTGGGGATATACTTGCTATTTCAAAATTTCATTAAATGAGCATTTATTGCTATGCTTTGACAAAAATTAAAAAATTAAAAAAATTAAAAGCATGCTAAATCTTGCTTCTTCTTTTTTATGTTTTTCTACTTTCATTGACAGCAATTTTTTAAAAAAGTTTTTTTTATTTTTTTATTTTACCAAACACATTTAATGTTCAGATTTTTTTAATAAGCTGCTTTTTTAAAAGCAACATAATCCCAAACCAACCATAATTCAATCAAAACGTAGCATTTAGTTTGTTACTATCTTGACTTTACCCAACGCGTTTTCTCCTAGTTTCTCTCTCTAAAAACCCAGATCCAGAGCCTTTTCTACGACTTCAACTTTCAGTCGCCGCCCCTTGCTTTTGCTTAGGGTAGGCGGCAACCCACTACCTCCTTCTCTTTTTAGTCTCCTTCTTCCCTCCTCATTCTCTCTTTCCTTCATTCCCTCATTTGCCTTTTTCTTATTTTCCTCCCTTTTCACTTCTTCTGCTCCATCCCTTCCCAGCATCCATCTCTTCCTTTCCTATTTCCAGTCTCCTTCTTTCATTTTATTCCCGGTTCTCTCTTTGTTTATCTTAGTTTTTCCTGTGCTGGGTCTCAACTATTCCCTGAGTTTGTCTCATATCTGGGCTTCATGCCTCTTATCCGGCTTTTGCCTAATTTTACTGCTTTCTGTCTTCCCATCTCCTTAGCTATGATACTACATCCTCATCCCACCATGTACTCGGATATGCGCGCTCTGATTAGGAAATAGATACCAAATCTACTACCCTCCGTCACTTCCCCTCCCCCAACTGGCATACCTATGCAAGATCCCATTGAGGCCAAGTGTTGGGTATTTTACATATCCCTTTAGCCTCACCCTTTACCCGTATAATACTTTGTTTGTATATATTTGCAGGGGTAGCAATGTGGTTTTTACTGCTGGAGATAAGGGTTTTTTACTTTCTATTTTCTATTGCCTTCAGGCTTAAAACTTATGTGGGCCTCTCGTTGTATCTTGGGTTATTGCTCTCATTTTGCTTGGGCCTTTTACTTTCCTGTAGTTGTTTACCAAGTTCTTTTTGGGCCTTGTACTAGTTTTATCTTAATGAAAGTTGACTTTCTGATAAAAAAAAGTTTGTTACTATCTCAACAATTCTATTATCCGTTAATAATAATTTCATAATGGGAATTGTTATTAGCACTCCAGAAATCTCATTTAGCATTCCACACTTTCTATAATTAGAAAAAAAAAATACACTTATGAAGCGTGTAGAATAAAAATTTTGAAGTGCTAATAACAATTCTCTTTCGTAATTTGTTTGGTTTTGGTACTTTCAAATAGCCATAACCAAATAGACTACCCATTTATTTATGACTAGTCAATTATGCCACAAATGTTTCAATATCGTAATCACATCAACGGATTACAATCAATAATACAAACATTGATACCAGTTGTGGAGACTGTTAGCACAAGCCTCCATGTGCCACATGTCAAATTTGAGCCACTAAACCAATGAGATACTTTTTAGTGCAATCGAAACATAAATTGGTACACAGCATGTCGTACGTAGTTGGAGCGAATTTTTTTTAAGGTATCTCTATAATTATATAATGATATGTAAACTAACGTCTTCCGATCACACAAAAAAATATCTTTAAACGAATATGAATTCTCCAATTATTCAACATTTTGTTATATTTTTATTTTCTGAGTACGGATATTTGTTTTCTTAGTTAAGACCTAGAAGTTGGCATGAAAAATCAGATTGTCAAAGGACGAAAATGTTGAGGAGGCGAATGCCCTTTACATAAAGATATTAACACGTGTCGCTTTCCAGATGCTCAGATTCGTCAAGTCAAACGGTTTGTCAAGGCCACACCGTCCTAAGGGAGTACGGACCATTTCTCAGTTTTTCATATTCCCATTTCACTTCCGGAAGTCCCCCCGTTGTGTTGAGGAATTTACAGAAAATGCCCCTTACTCTAGCTTTACTCTTAAGAAAAGTAGAAATTAGGAAAAACAAAAGGTTTATCAAAGTCAGTTTTCAATATTAAATAGAGAATTTCGTTTCCTGATAAAAATACAAGACAGAAATTTGTTTTAAATATTAATTTTTTTGTCAAATAAATATTATTCTTTTTTTTATCAAATAATTTGGATGTTAAAATCATATATGGGTGATGCTTAAAAAAAAAAAAGTAAAATTTATAATTTTGTAATTACTAAATTGCCTATAATTTTTATTTCTATTCAATTTTAACTAGAGGGTCATAATAGTAATTTTCTTCAAATTTTAGTTAAGAATCAGAGTTTTATTAATACGTAGTTTAAATATAATTAAATGGTAAGAATCAAATTAGAAATTAGTAAGGAATCCAATATTATAGGAAAATACAATTTCTTAGTTGTCACTTGTCATGCATGATAGAGCTTCACACCTTATTGAGTACATGGAATCAAAAGAGCAACCACGCTTAGATTTAGTGCTAATTATATAGTTCGCTTTAATGAAAGTGTTAGTCAGTTATCCGCACATAATAAAAGTAGAAATAAGTACTTCCAAAAAAAAATTGTTAGTTATGCCCTTCCATGATTTTATGTTGCTGGGAAGGGGATTAGATATTTAAAATTGAATATATGGATTTTTTTTTTTAATAGAATGATGTTAATCTTGCGTTTGGTTGGAGGTGTGAAGCATGATTTTTCAATTTTTTGCTCCATACGACATATCTTTGCTTCTCATAACAATTTCAAACAAAAATGGAAACAAAATAGGGGTGTGTAGATTTCCACTATCAAAATGCAAGCATGCATTTCATTTTGTTTTTACAAACGATAGAGTTAGTGTCACATCCTGGTCTGGGGTCCACCACATCAAGAGCCCGCTCCATTACCGTAGCACGATATTGTTCGCTTTGGGACGTGAGAAATAACAGGCGTTACGACGAGGGGTTACTGCCTTTGGTAATTGAAATTGGTTTGAAAAGTTTTGTTTCACTCATTCATATTTTCTATTTTTGCACTCCTCTAGGTTCTAGCAGCAGAGTTCCGTATTGACAAGTATTCGTAGCACTTTTCGGTACAAATGTATTCTTATGATGGTATAATTATTATCTTACCTTACTGAACTATACCTATACTCTGTATCACACGTGAAATGGGTCCAGACCCGCTCACTGTGCACTCGTGTACTTAGGCACTTTTAGATTTTAATTTATTCACATTTTATACATTATCACATTTTATGGCTTCGTCACCTTCCAAGTGTCGGCCAACACGCCTCGATTCAGGGTCCTAGTGGACATTCTGGGTCTGGATGTGTCAGTTTGATGGGTGCCCCACTGGGCCACTGGGAAGTTCTCGTGTGAGTTCCCAGAAACAAAACCGTGAAGGAGTGGTCAGGACCCAAAGCGAACAATATTGTGCTATGGTGGTGGAGCGGGTCTGGGATGTAGTGGACCCCAGGCCGGGATGTGACAGTCAATGAGGATTGAACATGCCCTATAATGCACAAACATTATTGTTTTCCATCAAAGCGTCATCTACAAAATGTAATCATGCATTTTTGATACTTGAATTGACAACAAGAGTGACGATTACTTCCAAAATAAAAATAATTTTATAATACAAAATCATTTCACCAACTGCATTTTAAAATTAATTTCCAATTTAATTTTCCACTATTTAAAATTATTAAATTTTAGACTGTATTTAAGTTCGAGTCTGTCTCTCATTATAAAAAGTTAAGCACACTAACTATAAAATAAATTAGGTACAATGGGACATTATTTTATACAAGAACACATGTGAATTTATTGGTGCACACAATTTTATTAGTTTTTATTCAATTAATATGTATTCTAATTCTTTGATTTGCTACATGCGGATTTATTTAATCCAGGGCATGTATCAAAGTGAGTGTATGAGTGTGTCTTCTTTTCCAAGAGTCAATGGAAGGTTCAAGCAGAGACCAAATGTTCTACATTAAAAATGGGTGCGGCCTTTTTGCGGCCCCAATAAGTGATTGATACATATATATTATTTTAACTTTTCTTAATTTTATTGTTATAAATTTAATATATGTCAAACACATATTGGGATCATAGAGAGGCCACACCTATTTTGGATGTAGAAGATTTGATCTCGCATGCCAAATTATAAATCCATTTGAATATGTTATGATGATAAAAAGAAAATAAATGTGAATTAATGGTTAAAAATGAAAAACAAACAATTAAATTGTTTTTATGATGTGGTATTTTTTTTACTATAATTTTAAAGTTAATATTTTTGAGATCTTGTAGCCCTTTTTGATGTAGGGTTGAAACTTGAAGTTATGCATATCATTTCTTATAAAAAAAAATTATTTTAATTTGTATAAAAGGGAATTTGAAGACACCGACTCTCTAAAAAGTAAGACTGTTCATAAACTTTTAGTCACTTCATGTTTTTTACATAATGTTTTCTGATATTGATACGATAATTAACGTTAAATTGATATAATAGAAGAGTCCCTAGTATCTCTTGAGAACAAAGAAATAAACAGACTACATATAACCAGCATTACTTGCTTTCCGAAAAAGGAGAAGAAAAAAAAAGAACAAAAGAATATATGAGCCGTGTAAATTATCTGTCCCAGATGCGATGAATAATCAAATAGGAAATAAATATACAAAATTAGCTGTCTCAGAAACGATGGCAGTCTCGTAGTTTTCTCCAAAGCGAAGGGTACTTGTGTTTCCCTGGCAATTAAACACCGCGGTGGCCTCGACAAATGAGGCGCTCGCTTCTAAACAGGAGAGAGTCATAGTGCGAAACCAAAATAACAGAGACGAGTAGAGAAGCACCACTGCCACCATGTGTCCAACAAAGCAAAAGCACCGGAGCTCCGTCCCCGACCACGCCGGAAAATGCTCCAAATCGGAGGATTCTACAACCTCCACCGCCGACTGGATCTCCGAGTCCGTCCACGGCGGATCCTTGCGCCATGTGGACCTCACCACCGGAACCAACGGCTGGGCGTCCCCTCCCGGCGACCTATTCTCTCTCCGCACCAAGAAATACTTGTCGAATAAACAAAAAGGCCCCGCCGGCGACTACCTACTCCAGCCGTGCGGCACCGACTGGCTCAGATCCAGCACGAAACTCGATAACGTACTCGCCCGCCCCGATAATCGCGTGGCCAACGCGCTGCGGAAGGCTCAGTCCCAAGGGAAGTCGATGAAGAGCTTCATTTTTGCCGTGAATCTCCAGATTCCCGGCAAGGACCAGCACAGCGCGGTTTTCTACTTCGCGGCGGAGGATCCAATCCCCGCCGGCTCTCTCCTCTACCGGTTCATCCACGGCGACGACGCGTTCCGGAATCAGCGGTTCAAGATCGTGAACCGGATCGTGAAGGGGCCGTGGATCGTCGTGAAGACGGTGGGGAATTACAGTGCGTGTTTGCTGGGGAAGGCGCTGACGTGTAATTACCACAGAGGACCCAACTACCTGGAGATTGACGTCGATATCGCGAGCTCGGGGATCGCGAAGGCCATTTTGCGACTCGCATTGAGGTACGTGACGAGCGTGACGATAGACATGGGGTTCGTTGTGGAGGCGCATGCGGAGGATGAGCTGCCTGAGAAGTTAGTCGGCGCGGTTAGGGTATGCCAGATGGAGATGTCGTCGGCGACGGTCGTGGACGCGCTGCAGACGACGATCGTAGCGCGTGGATTGAGTTTTGCGTCGAAGGTGAATCATCATAAGTCCGGCGACGACGACGACGACGATTGAGAATCTTAACCGGCGGTAGCTTTTTATTTTTTTTATATTTAAAAAAACGTTTAATTATTATTTGTTGTTAATTGTAATTTTCACTTGGTGGGTTCATCCCTTTTTTCATGGGGATTGATGTGTAGATAATAAAATTGAAAATCGTAACAACAAATGACAATGCAACTGATTTCTCACTTTCCACATGTTTTTAAGGTTTCTGGATTAATATGGAAAACACAAATTTCAACCTTTAAATTCTTTTAATGATAATAAATAGTGTGGCGAGTAAAATAATTCTCGCGGATGTAGAGATCTTGGTAGTGGGATATGGTAACAGCAAACACGTCACAAAAGGCACAAATGCAGCATGCCTATTAAGTATTGGGTCTTCAAGTGGTTACAAAAATATTTTTTATCAAAATCGGTTTTAACTATTTTAAAAGTACTTTTAAACGAATATATGTCGTTTTGCTTGTAATGACATTATTTGGGGTAGTACATTGTACCCTAAGGCCTTGTTTGGTAGTGTGATTGTGACAATACTATTCCATTGGAAATGATTCAGTGTCATAGTGTACATTGCGTTAATTTATAAAATTTAGAAGTAGAAATAGACCTTATCTCCAAGAATTACGGATTAGAACTTTTTTTCCCATCCTATATCATCCCCTTCCATTCTCTCGTCTCACACTCTCTTTTTTTGTCTTATACTCTATATAAAAAATTCAAAATAAGATGTAGACGTGCCGTAATTGCAACCGTTTAAATAGAAGGGGATGAAAGGAGAAAGAGATGAGGAGAGGAGGGAATCCTACTCCAAGAATTAGACACTATGGAGATATTTCTTTAGAACCAATACATAGGACCTATTGTCCTTATCCGTTCAATAGTTGCTTAGTTTAGCAGGTGTCCAATAGATGATGGTGAATTGATTACATGAGAGATATCTCGACATTATGGGATTAGACGCAGTATTGTCTTGAAGTGGCAGAGAACTAGGATATAATTATATTATAACATCTATCGTTTATTTCTCATATGTAAGATAATGTGGAAGCAAAAAAATTACTCCACTAAGCAACCCATTAAGATGTCAAACATGGGGAGTGGAGCTACAATTAATCAACCTAATATCCATTCCACAGAACATGGAGAAATAGAAGGAAATTGAAACTTGGGGCCCAATACTTGAATGCCAAAGGCTAATAATCCCACCAGTATAGGGGGTTGGGGGAAAAGAAGAGGTATGAGATTGTTTTATGTTTTACAAGTATCCTGAACAAACATTGACTTGAGCGTAAAAGTGTTTTATTGTAGGTCTCCCTCCTTCCTCATTGATAGCGAGCAAAGATGGTTTTGTGGACCTCTCAACATGGTTACAAGATTACTTTGTTGGTGGAGAATTGAAATACTTGAAATTTTCCGCTCCAACAGATACTTATCACAAAAACACAACACCTTGAAAAGTTTAATGCCATTTGATTCAATGTGAAAACTGTAATAAGCATCTGAACAAGATTTCTCGGTTTCTTTCCTCCGCAAGAGACCTAATTAGGGGTGGTACTAGTACGATTACCATACCAAAACCCATGTACTAATTACCATACCAAACTTTTGGTATGACAAAATCTATTACCATTACCGTGCCAAACTTTGGTACACCGAATTTCGGCATGCCAAATAGTTCGGTTGACATGGTATGGTAATGGTAATTATCACTTTGTTTTGGGCCATTCTTTTGGCCCAATATTTGATTTTTTTTTCAACCCAATTCAAGGCCCAAACGTGTTTTGGCAACTCGCTTTGGGTTTCTAAATTTTTTTTATTTAATTTTGAGAATTTTATAGAGATTCATTTAAGAAACAAGAAGTAAATAGATGGAAGAATTGATGAAAGAACCCAACATCCCTAAAAATAATAATACACAAATTTCTAAGTTCCATCTCTAAATTCTTTAAAATTGTACAAAAATTAACTTGATAGATGAAGCCAGGGAGAAAGACATCGCAATTTGATGAAGGAGAAGATGAGATGGACTACGAAGAGACAGAGATAGAGAGTTGCCGGAACGGGAGCAACATAGATGAAGTGGATGGCTAGATGATTGAAAAGATGAAGAGTCGTAGCATAAGAAGGCTTAGGTTTTTTTATTGGGAAAATAGATGTTAGAGGATGAGATGATTGGATAAATGACAAGGAAAAAATAAAATAAAGTGCATATATAATGATAATAATACCTAATTATATATATAAATGATATAATATTAATAATAATGGTACGGTACGGTATATCACTGGTAATGGTTTTGAATATCATTACCGTACTGAAAATATATGATACGGTACAAATACCGTACCATTACCAATGGTACAAATTTTTTGGCACAACTTTGATATGGTACGGTTGGTAATTTGACAAAAAATTCTTCCCTGTAGATCTAATAACTTCCTGATGTGGGGTTGGGGTTGGTGGGTACGAAGGGGGCATGCCTTAGCCTAGCTTGCTGAAGTTACTAGCCTACTGTGGTAGTACCTTTTACCCAAATGAAACAAGAGGTTAATGTGTTTTCGATTAGGACCTTTCGGCCGATTATTAAGTGGCTGAGGGAAGTTTCTATCGAAGACGAACAAATAATACTTTAGTTGTACCATTTTTTTTGGTTTTTTTTAACTCGTCTTGTCACAATATTTTTCTTGTTTTTTTATCCATATATTTTTGTTGATTATAATTTATAAACTATATACAAAATGTCCAAGTTCGAATCATTTTCTCTTTAATACTTTTCTAATTTAAGTCGTTACCCCTTTAATTTAAATTAGTTTTAAATAAAAACATTTAGTGTTTCTAGTGTTTAAAATATTCACGAAATTATCGATATTTCTATCAAAATATCCCTAAAATCATGAATTAATATGGAAAAGGGGGTGAAATGCAAACTTCACCTTATATTGAGAACATATAGCAATTATAAAAATTTCGTCATAACTCATTGCAGATTTCGAATTTTAAATTTTTTTCTTTGAGAAATTTTTCTCTAATTTCGATTAAATTTGAATGAGTTTGTTATAAATAGACAAAAGTTAGAGAGATAACCTTTCTAAGGACATGATCGAAGCAGGTGCAAAATATCACACTATGACTTTAGTAGCTATAACTCAAAAAAGGATGGCAGATAAAGAGAGGGAGGGATACTGATATTATTTCTCTTGCTTTCTTTCGCAGTGCATTTGATAATAGACGGAGTGCTCTATTTATAGAGCGACTCTCGTAACTACAACCATCAAAATACAATGATGATACTTTTGAAAGTATCAAACACTATTACTCACTATTACTAAGTCTTTGGGCATTCTTTTGAGTAGGCATTCACCCACTAATTCTATAACAGAGTTGATATACTCACTTCATTGTAAATTTCTTTAACGATCAATATTGTTTGATAAATTTAACTATGTTTTCATAAATTTGCATATCGTTAATTTTAATGTTGAAAGCATCTAATTGCCTACGTTCCAATCAATCCATCAGTTGAAATAATAACAAATTTTTGTTTTGCAATCGAAGTCTCTCAATCAAGCCTCATATCAAGAATCTAGAGGGGCCCGACTCTTTTGAGCCTTTTATTTCTTGAATCATTATTCACCATCCACTTGTCAGAACTAGGAATGCCCGACCAATTTTGATATGCTTTTTACTTTATTTATTTTTCCGTAATCCATATTATTTAAAATTATCATTTTGTCCTAGTCGCAATTGTTTTTTGTTTTCTTTTTTCTTTTGGCAACTTTCAATGTGCTTGGCTGCTATCTTAGGCAACTTTCAGTAAATTGTGACATAGAAAAGAAGATGAAAAAGATGACCACTTCTCAAATATTGTATGTTAATTTTTCTCCTTTTATAAAGATTTTTTAATGTGTTTAGAAAACGGGCGTATACGCCATATGTCATTGCACAAGTGGAGGAATACTTGAAAAAAAAAAAAAAAAAACTCCTTAGACTTGTGCTACATATAGTGTACTGACATGTGTTCCGAACACATTAAAAAATTTATGCTCGTTTTATAGGTGAATCACTTGTTCATTGATTTTTGGAGAGAAAACTGTCATTCCTCGTATAAATATTTGGGATCTTGGAAATTGTTTTATGTTGAGACAATGGACTTCAATTTTGGTTTTGAACTTCTTGTTTCCACAAGCTTATGAGAAAAAAAGAGCCTTCCTAATTTCGCACACTTGGAAATATCATGTTTGTGCATGTAAAGTGAATTCAACTATTTATGTTTGTGAAACTTACAAACGAAGAAACAATGCAAGAAAGACAAACCTTACCACTCTTCTTTCACATTATTATCATGCCTTGTGTGTTTTCAGAAAGATTTTTCAGTAGTGTGTCATAAAAATGGTCTAGTAAACCAAGTATTTTAATACAAGAGGTTGAATACTGAAAAAAATAATTTTAACTACTTATATAATGATACTTAATGTACCAAATCGTTTCGCAACACTGAAAAATTTCTCGTGTATTGCGGTGCATTATTTTCAGTGTCCTGGGATTTCATCCACACAAGAATAAGTGGACTCGTGAAGTCTATAAAGCATGGTGGAGTGCTGGCTTAGGCATTAGTGAGAACTTGACCCACCTAATTCATCGACATTTTCCTTCTTTTCTTTTTCCTCCATCTTTTTAATTTCTCTTTGCCCTTCCGAGACATTTACGAGTGACAAAAAGGTAAAAATGAACCACTTTTGCCTCGTCGTGTACAAGGGGAGATGCAAAGTTTGAGTTTTGTTGACCAGCTGCGTTTTTGGTAAAAATAAACGACTTTTGACTCTTGCTTGGTCTTCCTCGAAGAATTGTGTGTAACATTCCTGATGATCTGTAGCGGTTTTGGTTTTGTGTTGGTTGGGTTCGTGGCAATGGCCATGCATGTGCACCGCTAGTTCTGATGCATGTTTCTTCTTGTTGTGATCTGAATTAGTGAATCAATTTTCAAACCTCTGTCATCAATTTCAAAACTTAAGCCATCAATTTCAATTCCCCTTTCCCATCCTCCACATCCATGGTTTTATTCCTTCCTTCTCCTACTCTTCCCAGCTGGCTCCGGGTTTCCTCGACCCCACATATTTGTGGATCTTCAGTTACTCTCCTTCATCGCGTTTTGACGCAATTCTCTCGGGAAGTGCATACCTTTTT